CAGACTTCCAGGGAATTTAAGAATTATGATAATAAAGGAAAACTAACGCTGTAGATGTAAAGGTGCTTGAGCGAAGTGCAGAGTCGCCGGTTTTTTATGCGGTTTCGTTTGTTTAGGGCACTACAAAGACGCCGCGATACACGCTGCTTTATGATACATCGAAGATGTCGGCGGATGAGATGCAGGGTGTCGTTCACGGGCTTGCATTCGGCTTCCAAATTGTGAACATGGCTGTCTCTCGCCCGGCGCCCGTTATGATTGCTAGTCGTATGGCTCAGCGTGGTCGCAGTAACTATATTGCGATGTAGTAAGTTTTATTAATGGTGGATAACGGCGATTTTTATGAAATTGGCACTCCGTCAAAATCATTTTGAGCCATTTATCTCCCCTGTAAGCATGCATCTCCTTCTGTCAGATGGGATTAGACGGGCAAACCTTACGTATCAAATTAAGAAATCGTATGAAGTCCCCCGCTCCGGCGTTGTTGTGTCGTCTTTGCGTTTGTTTGTCTCGAAGTGCACGTTTATCTCAATCAGCCCTGTCTTCATGTTACTTCGTTTGAAATGAAAAAGCCATTTTTGCCAGTATTCGACCCAACGTTGGTCCCATTTTGCATCATCTAACTGAGAATATGAATAACTCATATGTAGGGGGCGCTGTTTTCTTACCCCTTTATGAATTGATTGTGACGTGTTATTGTTTAAAATATGGCTTGGTTTACGAAAAGAAAACAGCTAAGTTTCGCATCTGGAGACGGTTTTCGTCTGAGATTTCCCAACATTGTTTGAAATATACGTACGATTCATTTTCAGCGGCGACGAATCGGAAAATTCCGACAATGGAGGTGGAGTAGAAAAAGACATCGCGAAGCTGAACAACCAGCTTGGCTATATGAGTAAAGAGCTGGAAGATGTCCGTTTTAATGCCTAAAGTAGACATTCCAATCTCATTTCCCTTCCTACCGTTACGTTATTTTGTGTCATTAACATGTTGAGTGTATAATTTGAATTGACCCTGTCATCTGAAAATTGTAAAAGCAGAGAATTCTCCGTCCATTTAAAAAGACTTTTTTTTTGAAGTGGGGATTTTCAGGAAATTTTGTTTTAATTCAGTTTGTTTTAATCACATTACTCTGATAATTTCCACTTGTAATTTTTTGTCCGAGATCTCACAGTAGTTTCGGAGTTCGTCACTTCTG